TGACAATACTTTTGAGAATAACAATTCCTTTTCCAGATACAAGTTCTATTTAATCCAAAGCTGGAGGTAAAAGCGATGGAGTGATACTTTTCCTAAGGGCATTTGCACATAAGCAAATGTAACAAAGTCAAATGAATTCAAACTTGGCTGTCTGATTTCTTATTTGTGAGCCACTATCCCCTATACTGCTTGTACATTCATAAAACTGGGTTTAAAAAAATGATCAAGCTGTTTGCTGAATTTGCTAAGTGGAAGGAAATGGAACTATATCTGAGCATATTTCCCTAAAATTTGTTTAAGGAGTGTAAATTATCTCCTGAAATGGATGATAATTATGCTTTTGATTATAATGCCTTAAAAATGGTTAAGAAGTTGACCATCAAAACTAAAACTTTCAGGAGAGCTCGGATCAACGTAGAACAAAAATGTATGTATCTGCCATTAACCATACATTATATGGCATTTCCACTTGCAGCTGATGTGGAAAAGACAGTGCCACCGTTGGTAGACTAAAGAGTTATGTGAAAGTTCAAAATATTACTGTAACACCCACTGCAAGAGGTGTCCAATGTTGCCATACCTTTACCAGAGAGTGTTAGCAGGACTAAAAAGTTATATCTATGCTGCCTATATTTGAGGTCAAGTAAATAATGATATTCAAAATCAAGTTGGTAGCCATTATGTAGAGCAAAACACTTTTAATATACCAATATTTATCATCCATAAAAAACATACTGGGTTGAATGTGTTTTTTTGAACAAGAAAAAAAATTGCTTTGCAATATGAACATGAGGTAACTCACTGAATATAGTGACTTTGAAAATCAACTGACATGCTAAAACTAAAGCCAGTTTTAGCAATGGAAAAAGTCAATTATAATACTACAAGTAATGACTATAATTAAAATACTGTTAGTTTTTTTTATGTAGCAAATAATGTATCTATAAAACATTTGAATGGTATTAAAAATTTTCCATGTTTCCCACTGGGATAATATTTAGAGCTATAATATAGTTATTTAGAATATAAATCTATATAGTTATAATATAAATAAGTGAATAAACATTTTAATATGAAGACTGCAAGTAAAATTCAATCTGTTTACAAATATATGTTATACTGAAGTATGCCAATTTGCACATGTCACAACAAGGCTACAATGATAAAGTCAATATGCTTGTTATGTTTATTTAACCCCTACTCAAAAGGTCTATCCTTTTATGAATGCTGTCAAGTCGTTAATCATCTGATGTTCCCCACAATGGTCCTCATGTGTGTGAGCATGTGTGGATATTGACAAAAAAATAAAAAATAAATCCAAGCCTATCTTTGATTTCTATGATAATTTGATTTAATTTTTAAGTTCAAATGACACAGCACAATATAAAATATAAATCTTTTTGATCTTAAAAATTAAATCAGTGCAAATTTTTGGCTGACAAATGAAACAGAAGTCTCAAAACATGTACCAACATTCAGTAAAAAATATATAGTGTCTGCAACTATATTGTGTATTGTGTGGTTTAGCAATTTTTGACTTTAAATACAAAAACATCAATAGTGCACATTTTCAAAAACCCAAATTTTATCATGAAAATCTAGGAAAATAGCATTGAACAAAATTACCAACAATTTCAAGTTGCACCCAAATTCCTAATGTTCCAAATGCTCTACAGAAACATTAAAGATATTAAAAGCATACAAAAAGGATTACAAAGATCTGCAGTTAAAGAAAAAATATTGCAGGAAAAAAAGTAGATGCCAAAATTTCCATTGCAGAAATAAATTTAGGATGTGAACAGAAACAATGTAATAATTCAACAAGTTGATCATCTAAATACATTTAGATATTCTGTAAGAAAATCTGAGAAGAATATATAAATTTATGTATCAGAAAAGTGTTACGTAAATGAATGACAATGTGGAAAAAATTCTGTGTAACACATTTTGTCCTCGAGAACTTCATTGGACTAAAGTAATGTTTTTGTTGATGGAATCACATGTGTGAAGAAAGAGGAAGAGATATAAAAATGCAAGTGTGTTATAATTATAGATAGACAGTTAATGTTGAAGATATTGGAATGTTGAAATTTATTTTCAGGTGTGTGCCTAGCAGATTTCATAGTTTCCTTATGCTTTTGTTTTTATCACTTATTATTAAGTATATAACACTGAAGAAAATTGATGTAACTATTAGCCTTAGAGATATACCTTGAAGGCAGAAAGGATAAATCTTGCTTGCTGTACAATATTTTCAGCAGCCCACAGTTGGTGACTATCAGTGTTCCTACAAGAAAGTGAAAACTGTTCACAAAGCAAAGAATGACTGAAAATCCTTTAGTTACATTAGTGCTTAAAAGTGGAATTTGATAAATTTAACCCTTACAAGTTTTGCCACTCCATACTGCACATAAAAAAAAAAAAATTACCAGTTATCAAAAATTCAAGTATTATAGTAGCACTATTATATGTATAATAGTGTAAATATATTGCTAATAATTTTACTACTGAAATACATGAAACCTAAGGAAGAATAGTCAAGAATTAATAAGAGTGACTGATAGAACAAGGCTATTGTGCTGCTAACAATTCTCATGAAGAAATGCCTTAATCCAGAGGAAAAAAAGGTGTCAGTAGTCAGGAATAAAGACAAAATTGAGCTAGTATCTTTCTTACTGAAATATATTATAAAAAGAAAAGTATTGTCAGTTATCAGGAATTAATGTTATACATTACTGAAAGACAATATATATAATTTCAAATGCATTGCTAATGATTTTACAAAAGAAATGCATTGAAAAAAATCAAGAAATATATTGTTAGGATTTAACCCAAGCATTACTAGAAGAACAGGATACATTTATAAAGTATTATATATATATATATATATATATATATATATTCCAATCTAAAAATGGTACTTAGAAAATAAATATGCCCTTTACAACTAATATTCTTTTACACAACAAATCTGAAACTAAGATAAACTTGAGATTTTTTGTAAAAAAGAAGAATGCATAATGGAAGAGGAAATCAAGATTTGTCAGGAAAAGATTGAGCTGGAAAGAGATAAAGGATGGAGACAATAATATTTTAAATTATCCTCAGAGTATTTTCATTAATTTTTGCTTTCTGATTTTTATCTTTCCAGAGAAAGTAAAATCTCATTGTAAAAAAAGTTTATAGGGGATAATAGCAGAAATATACACTATTGACAGTTTTAACTAACAAAAAACAAAAATAGCCTGCTCACAGGAAAATTTAATTTTTAAAGTATTTAAAAATGTCAACGTTTCTAAAGAAATGCTTCAAACAAAAAGATTTTTTTTTGTCTAATTTCCTGAAAAGCGTAAAAATAATGAGAACATGTTGAAAAAATGGGTTACAAAAAAAAAATTTTAATTTTATTATTATGTGCAATCACAATTTCAAGCATACTTTTAAGTGGCTTGGTAACTTCAACACCATTTGTCTGCATCAAATATGATAAAAATTCAGATATAAATAAAAATATATCTGTAAAAAGACAAAAGGAAAACTTCTTTACCAATGCATTTTGTTTCCCCTGGAGAACTTTATGAAGGCAAATGTAAGGATTTTTATTTTTCAACAAGTATTTATAAACAGAAGTAAAAAAAAGTTGTTGGGTTTTCAAAAGTTTTTTTTTTTTTTTCCTTGGCTTCCGCCATAAGTTACCTTTCCTTTCACTTAGCTTGAATATTTATGAGCATTGTTAATGTAAAAATTTTGAAAGCCTAATGACATTTTTACTTGTGCTTATAAAATCTTTACATTTGCCTTGATTAGAAGATAAAATGAGTCAGTAAAGAAAAGGCTTTCCTTTTGCCACTCACTCACACACGTTCTTGAAGCACATGCATCGTGGTGCAAAGGTTAATGTAATTCTAGGGTCATATTAGATGTTATCAGAAATACTTCAAAATGAAGTCAAATATGATTTGATTTTTTTTTTAATCTTTCAAATCTAATTAACACTGTTTAGGGCACCATCAACATAGTAAATGTTAAAAATAAAAATGATAACAATACAGGTAAAAAGGTTAGAAACTATTTTTGTAGAGTAATTCATTTACAGTAAAAGAGAAAAAAATGTTTTTCCCATCTCTCCCATAAAAATGACGAAAAGTGTACTCTGCCAGAAGATGAAACCTTAAAAACCATTAGCATCAGAAGCAATTTGTATTTTCAATATTCCGTGTTGAAATTCATATTTTTTCCAATGCAGCAGCATATTTTAGCACAGTTTTCAAGATTTTATTCTTCTGACAACAGACATTTGATCATTATGTGTCCAAGTAGGTTAGCAATCACTATAGTCACACATAGAAAAGTAATTTTTTTTTCTCTTTTAAGATAAATAAATCTTTCTGACTAAATAAATTTACCAATTAGTTTATTTTTCTGATGGTGCCATATCTAAACATCTTCCAACAATTCTGAAACAATATCCTGTAATTGAACCAGATTCTTATTATCTTGTCATTTATATGCAATCAAAGCATCAAAGGAATGGTAAGTTAATTAGAACTGTGCAAGCCATGACAATTTTATTAACAAAGAACCGAGGGACATTGGTCAAAGAAAATGAAAATTAGAGGAATATAAATAAGATTTAAGCCTTTGGAAAAATGTGATCCATTCATTTTCATTCATTCCTGCAATTTATTACACTGTTCAAAAGCCTTTGCTGAGTTAGTGATCTATTTTTGGCAGCATTAAATCTTGAGATTCAAGTAGTAAGAGAAAGCATAAAAGCAAGGCCAGAACTAAAAACTGGAATACAGATTAGTAGTGACTAACTGGTGCATAAAGCAAATAAAATACCAATCATAAATATGCAGTGAATGTTTATCCATGATTATATGTAAAGGTTGCCAGTTGATTGGGGATAAAAAGGTACAAAGTGGATATAGCAAGCAAGTGGGATCAGCATAATAGCAGCTCAGAAGGTCCAGTGTCCAAGTGAATTAGCAACTTACGTGAGGCATTCCTGGACTGTTTGGAAGTTCCAGAATTTTGTTCAGGTTGACAACACACTTGTCAGAACTTGTCCCTGGCATTACAGATGTTGCCTGCCTCATCTCCCGGAGTTTTTGTGGAGTCTCAGGCAGTGGAGAGATGGGTCTTGATATTTTACTTAATGGGGAGAAACTTAGATCCCAGAATTGGCATGAAGTAATATTTTGAGCATCTGAGACCTCTTCCTGATAAGGTAAAGAGATGATTCACCAACAGATTACCAAATGCTGTATAGAAAAAGGTTTTTCATGCACACCCTACAAGTTAAGCAACAAACCAATTTCATATTTCCTAATACAAACTGTTCTATGATGACAAGGTTCGTTCCTAGCCTAATCACTGAATAAAATTCCAATTTCCCTGAAAAATTCCACTGAAATTTTGTGATATCAGGACATCATGTAGCAGAAAGTAGTAAGTATTGGTGATGGGACGATTAATCGGAAATATCAGAACTTTTTGGGCTATCAGACTTTTAACCTAATTTCCGACACCAAAAACGATTCTTTGTATTTTTTTTTTGTTTGTTTAAAACTTAATTTTGGATTCTTGGTACTAATAAAAAAGACAAATATTTATCGATTTTAAACTATCGGTAAAACTAAAATCTATAGATTATAATAACACCTAAGTTAAGTTGTATGATGTAAATTCATTTTACTTGTGTAAAAAAAAAAAAAAAAAAAAAAAAAAAAAAAGTGCACATAGGAAATTTTAAGGGGGGTTGCATAAGGGTACCTTTGCTTGTTAATGCTTCGAATGACTAGTGTATCCAATGCCAAGCAGAAAAGTATAGTTTTTATAAGATTTTTGTTGATGATAACCAAAGTAAAGCAATATGTTAACTGTAGCTAGGTACTTAAGTAATTTATGCAAAGAAATTATTCTCTTTATTGTTTAAACTCTTACCCAATTTTTTAAACAAGTACTTAAAAATAGATTTAAGTAAAATACGCAGTACTGCCAATTTAGTTACAATTGAATTTAGTTTAAGTTAATTTTTATTGCTTCACTTTCTGTTTATTAAAAGAGAAATCCAAAACAAATCCTATTTATTTTGGGAGTGGGGGAGGTGGATGTTTACGAACTTGAACGACACTGCCAGGTAAAAATTCAGATTATTTATCACATTTTACTTTTAGTTTCTTCATTTTTGCAATGATTCATTTAATTTTCAAAGTATTTGCAATATTTTTAAAAGCTGATATAGAAATTCTCACTTTTTGTTTTAATATTTTTTTCGTTAAAATAAGATAACAGCTGTTTTCTCCCTAAATTTTTTTTTTATGTAAATTATCCCAGAAATGAACATTTACTATTGAATCAATACTATTGATTCAATAGTAAATGCTCACTTCTGAGATAAAATATGAAACTGAATATCAGTAGCATTGAATTCACTTTCATATTTTTATTGAATATTTTCAATTTTTATGACAGTTACTCTTCTTGCTGAAATACTTAAATATATCATTTAATTTTTTTTTTGTAATAATAGCCTAAAATTTTTAGGTTAAAAATCACTTAAAACTATTGATTGCAAACTATACCAATCGTTGAATGGAATGCTTTGAAGTTAAAATATTAGCAATGGCTTAAGTTAAAAATATTAACAATTCAATTGAAAATTATTCGGTATTTCAGTCCATCTTTAAAAAAAAAAAAAAAAAAAAAAAAAGTGTTTATTAATTTTAAAATAATAAAGAAAGCAACTTTTTTTTTAATGAAAATTGAAGACTTAATCGATAATAAAGGCAAGGCCCTTTTTACTAAAAAGGGAAAAAAAAATCTATTTTTATTTATTTTTACAGATTTTCTAAGTTTTTATTATAATAATAATAAGAGTTTTTACTTAGAATAACAATAATAAAAATGTTAAGGATAATAAACAAAAACCAAACAATTGAGTTCAGCGTCATGAATTAAAAAAAGTCAACCAAGGATTTGAATCATAAACCAATTTTCAACAAAGTGTTAAAAATGTAAAAAAAAAAAAAAAAACGCATCAAGTTCAACCTTAACTTGAGATAATAATACATAGAATTAAAAAATAACTTTATTAAATAAATTTATTATTTTAATTATTTATGACAAAAAAAAAAAAAACAACAAAAAAAACGCAACTTCGGGATTTTAAAAGTTTTTTTTTAGCATTATAGACGAAAAACATTAACAAAAATCAAACTTCCATTTCTATATCATTGAAAAAAAATTAATGCAAAGAAAAACTAATTTAAAAACAGTATTAGCAATTTATCTTCAAAAAAATTTTAATCTACAGTACTTAACTTAATACTTACAGTAACACAAAGAAACATGTTTATTTTTTGTTAGTTTCTTTAAGTTTTAACACCATTTTAATTTTTTTAACTCTTTAAAATTATTTTTACGTGAAAAAAAAAAAAAATTACACGTTCACACTTTTTTGTACTTTGACGAGTTAGAAATTTTAAAATTAGAGAAGTGGATCGTCTAAAAAGTAGTGGAATAAATCTACGAAAAATAACTAAATCGTGACTTCAGAAAAAAGAAAAACAAAACACACTTACATTTTTCTGTTTTTTGATATTTACTGCAGATTCTGTTTCATCGTTATCATCATCACTTAAAGGAAGCTTTTTTCTAACAGATCGACTTTTCTGCGAAGTTGGATCGACTTTTTCTTTGATTATTGTAGCTTTTTCTTCATCTTTTGTTGTCGATGACTCCGACATACAAGTTTTAGCAGAATCTGATAAAGAAACAAATCGCCTTTTTTGAGAAGAAAGCTTCGGGTTCGATTTTGTTGGGGTAATAAATCCAGGGGCTGATCGTTCTTGTGCATCATAAACTTTTGAAGAATCACAACTTTTCTCCAACGACGTTAAAAAGGAAGACGGAACATACTTATTTTCAATTTCTTTTTCACTATTATTTGGTATCGACACAGGAAGAGTTTCATCAGAAGTATCGGTTTGGGACTTGAAAAAATCATTGATTTTTGATGATTGCCGGGTTAATTTTGCTTTTGATCTTGCTCTGGTCGATGAACGCGTATTTCTTGAGACTGGTGATTTCGAGTCGACACTTTTCTCCAAAGTACACTGAACGATTTCGGCTTTTTTCAAGCCGCCTTTCTTGTTTAATCGTTTATCGTCGATGCCACTTGAAATAGATTTCTTTTGATAAGAATAAAACTTCGTGATTGTTGTCTTGTCCATGTTTAATTAATTTAACAATACTCGAAAATTTGTTTTAAAAAAATATAATGTAGGTTTCGGGACAAGAATTAAATTAAACTTTAAAAAATCGCTCAAAAGAAAGAGACGAAAAAGAGGAAGCAGTAGGCTGGACTATTTATCCCGCCAAAACTCACGTGGTACAAACAATTAAGTGATATCTTAGTTTCGTAGGTAAATAGTGAACGCATTTATCAGAATAAAAATAAAAATTCAACTAACAATGATTTATATTTTTCATTCTAGTCATTATCTTATGGCATTCAATTGGATTTCACAAATGTCAAGAAAGATACGAAAACCCATGTTTATATGCGTGTACCTTTTCCCCTGTCCTGCCCACATGATCTGCAAAAATGGCGGATGCTTCTAACTTGAATCCATTCCTGGAGGAGGAGAACGGCGATTTAATTGAAAATGAATTGGAAGATAATTCATCCGAGAAGTCACCAGGCTCGGAGCACGCGGATATTTCATGGGATAACATCGCCGTGAAGCTTTTACGCGATAATTTTGTGCTGACTGCTCTCGAATTACACACTGAACTCGTGGAGTCCGGTCGCGAGTTGCCGAGGCTAAGGGATTATTTCTCTAATCCTGGAAATTTTGAACGAACCAAAGTTGAAACATCGTCTCCTACTTTGCGTACGTACATTGTCACCTAACGCTTTTTATGCATAGTGTTTATTTTATTTTGAACTAGTAACATGTGGTTTGCGGATGGAAATGTTATTTTCTGAATGTTTGCTGTAGAATTTTTCGTGTTAGCAATTTTAAGAGTAGAATTAAAAAAAAATCAGGGGGCGTAAACTTAACAATAACACTAATGTCAAGCTGGAATTTATTTGAAAATATTAGTTGTGTTTTGAGTTGTTGTCGTGCCTAAAACCTATTAAGTTGTACTATTATGTAATTTTCGATTCTTTCGCTAAAATCTAATATACTTTTTAAGTATTTGTTCCATTTATTATTTCGATATATTTTACTTTATTTATTGCCTACTCGTAACCATCTTTCTCTGTTTTGGTTGAGGATGCTTCATGTTTTCAGCTGCTTCACGTCTGAAAGTTGGTGACACCGTTGCTATTAGCAACAGCAGAATAGCCGCTTTCTTTCTCTCGTCGGAGATGCTGCTAATGATGGGTTGTTTAATAATAATAATTTTAAAAAACTTTTTAAGCTCTTAAGAAAAATAAAATTATATAAGTATATGTAACTCGCTTTTCCTCCATTTAATTTTAATAAATAAAATGACATGAGATAAATATTTTTTTTAACTCCGGTTTAGTATTTTATTTTTTAAATGAAGTTTTTTTTTTTTTTACCTACCAACTTAACTGAAAATGAGTTTTTATTTTCTTTAAGGAAAATTATAATGAATTGAACAGAGAAAATGTAAAAATAAATAATAATAATAAAACTATTGTAGTTTGATTCAGACGGTCTCCCTACTTTTTTTATTTGAAATAAATATTTTCAGAAAACACGAAATCGCACTTTCTTTACTGAGCAGTTCTTCATATTTTTTGTTGTTGAACCGTTTGTTGCTTTAAATGCTAATTAATTTAATTAAATTAAACAAAGAAAAAACACGCGTACATAAAAAGCAACTATGCTAATTCTTTTCTTGTGTTCTAGCTTGCTTTCTAAATTAAGAAAGTGTTTTCATTATTCTAAAATTTTGTAATAATATCGAAAATCAAAATGTATTTAACAAATAAAATCGGAAATCCATGTTTATTTTTTTTTTTTTAAACGTTGAATATTCTTCGTTTTTCCTGTTCAGTGTTCATCGAGCAAAATGCAGCCAAAATATTTGCAATCTTCTTAACATAATAAAATTGGTTCAGTTAAAAAAGGTCTTTAATTTTGTTATGCTAGTGCCACCATTTATCTAATTCTTATTCAACCCATCGTCGTATGTTATTGTGTTGCCGGTGAGAGGAAATGGTTGTGAAATCTGAGAAATTCCGTGAAGGGTCCAGTAGTATGGGATCTCAACAAGATATCAAGGGATAATTTAAGTAAAAAAATATTAGTTGTGTTGTGTGAGTGAATTGATTTAATAATTATTTTACCCGACACAAATAAAAAAAAAATACTTGAAACTTTATTTCATTATATAATAAGAAATTTAATTTAATTGCTTGTTTCGGTTGGTAAAAGTTCAGAGGACTTGTAGCGTGTGGCACATATAATTTTTTTTTTAATCACCTGTTCCCTGAAATCGGAGGAGTGGCTCAGCCAAGTCACTTAACGGAAAGTTACTTGTTGAACAACTTGACAAAGCATTTAAATGTAAAATGCTTGTTTACAAACGGATTTTCTTTTAATTTAGAGAGAGACATAAATTTTTTTAATGCTATTTTGATGAGGTGAAGAGATTTCCTTTTATAATGGTTTACCGAATTTGTAATTAACACTCAGTGAGTGACTATATAACTGTAACACGAAATAACTCCGTTTTTGTTTTTACTTTTTATTTTTGCTTTAGGATTTAGTTAGTAGCACATGGTTGGTGCAAACGTGTATCCTGTGGTAAAATATTGATAAGAAGACTAAGTAGTTTGATAATTATGTTCCAAATCTGTTATGTCAACACATAAGTTAAAGTTGTATGAGGATTTTCCGGTAAACGAAACCCTTTTCGTATTTAGCACCACTAAAAAATATGTTAGTTTTGAAAGTCATTCGTTCAGTTACAACGAAAAACAAAAAAAAAAAAAAAAAAAAATTGAAATGTATTGTATTTGTAAATAAACACTCTGCTCGGTGTATTTTTTATTTTTCTCATAGTAAGGAGTTTTTATTCAATTGAAAGCTAGTATTTATTGCTTTCCCTCTCTTTCTTTTATATTTTTATTTATTTTCGAAGGCAATGTCGAAAAAATTACTGACATTTTTTGATTTTAAAGTTGAACATATGCCTTGTAAGTTTTTTTAACAGTCACTGATAGCAACTATGATTTTGGACGCTATACTTCATTGATAACCAATGGCAATCTCAGCGGTTTGTTTGGAAATTATCAATTAAATTTGAATTTTTATTTTTTTATTTTTTTTGGTTCAACTGCTATATTAATTTTCCTCTTGAAAACTAGTAGAGTACATTTCTTTAAAAAAGTGATCATCTTCAAGGATAAATCTGCAAAGAGAAACTCAAACTGCAATAATAGTACAATGAACATAGCGATTCCGTTTTTTTAAACGTTGTAATCAAATGCAGATTGCAGTCAAATACGAAATTTTAGAATAGGTCATGGACGTAACTTGGATCACCTTACAAGAAGCACTAAGTGACATAAAAACTAAAAGTCACCCAAAGACAAGAAACACAAAAAAAGCAAATAGGCGTGAATGACAATTTGAAATTTTCAAGTTAAAGAAAGAGAGCAGATCTGATAGCACTAAGAAAATGATGCGGAGATTATGTTGTTAAAAACATTAAACAAGATCAGAAATAAATGCAAGCAAATAAAAAAGGAATGACTTATGTAAACAGTAACAGGTATGAACAAAATTTAAAAGAAATAACAGACAGAACATATTCTTTGGAAAGATGTATAAAATTTCAAGTGTAAGCAATCAAATAGAATGAGAAAAGGTACTACAGAGATGAAATGAATGTATGGATTTCCCATGAAAATAAAGGAGAAAAAAAACTTCTAATACACAAATTATTGCACAATCTGAGGTTTTAGCAATGGCCAAGATGAAAAGGAACAAAGCAACAGGATCAGATTGTTATAAATACTGAAAGCTTTGGATGAGTTCGGGATTGATAACAAAGTGATAAATGAAACCCGACAGTAATCTTCATGGTGTTGTCGAAGAAACGAGGTGTGAATGAATGTGAGCTTCAATGCAATGAACAATCAGTTTGTTGAAACATTTAATTAAACTAATAATTAGGATTCTAAGGAAGATACATTAGTAAAAATTAAACTGTAAATTGTGTAAATACAACGTGGCTTTGTTCAAAATACTAGAGAACAAGAAATGCAGTTTCCATCATCAGAATAGCAAAGAAAAGGAGTGTGGAAACATTTTTACCTATTTTTCAGAGATTACACAAAAAAAGCATTCTATGAAGCATGACAAGGAATTCTTTGAAATGTGAGGAAAACTTGATTTATATAGAAATTATATTAAAATAATCTGTAACTTGTACTGGTAACAAATAGCCTGCATGTGGATTGGATAGAGAATGAAAAGTGAATACGCAAAAATAGAAAGAACAGTATGATAAGGATGTGTGTGTGTTTTTTTTTTTTTCACCAGATTTAACTTTTATAACAAAATGATTCTTGGAGTGCTAAAACAAGAATTATTATTGTGAACATTTAACAACATAGACTATGCAGTTGTTGTTAATGGCAGATTCAGAAGAAAAACAAAGAACCATTAGACAAGGTGATTGAGAACTCCTCAAAATAGAATATAATTTTGTCAGTAAGGTGTGAGTTGTATATTGGGGATGTAAAAAATCAAGTAGGTGTCAAAATTGAATTATCTGGGTGGAAGGTACATAGAAATAGTTTAAGATGATTTTTCAGAAACTGAGCAAGATTTTAAGGGATCAAAAACGTCTTAGTAACAAGTAAAAATGTTGAACTGCTATGTAATATCTAATCTCTTAAACAACAATGGACAATTTCCTCACGGATAAAGAAATGATTTGAAGCAGAAAAGATGTAGTTTCATTGACAAATGATGAGAATACCATGAACAGAGTATGTGAGAAACAAACTTTTAAGGAGAATAGGAACTAAAAAAAAAAAAACAAACCCTAAAACTGCTAATAATCAGAAAGAGACAGCTTTTGGGGAAATAATCAAGGAAGAAAGCTTAGAGTATTTAACACGCACAGAACACATTGAAGATAAGAAGGGGAAAACAGTGAACAATCTTGACAAGTTACAGTAGATGTATGGCAGAACAAATACCACAAAAACAGAGATTGCAAAGGAGCAAGAATTACT